TCTTCCAAAGTTCTTACTGGTTTCTTTGAAGGATCTGGAAGACCAAAGCTTAAGATTTGAGCTCTGCTACTTTCCTGTGGGCATTTGTTGGAGAGAACCATCTTGGAATCACTGATTACTCCATCTGGTTTGATACTTGATGCAGTTGCTCTTACCTGGCCAAGTTCATGGATTTTTCTCTCCCAAATTTTAAAACAGCACCAAGCATAAAGCACATCTATAAATGTTGTTGTTACCTGGAGTGACATGGCGGCCATGCACATATGCATGAGAAGCTTGGCCGAGAACATGGAGAAGACTGAGCAGACGATGTGAGCAATGATGGCACACAACAGGCCCACCTGCAGAGAGAGAATGAAACAAGTCCTTCATGTTGGTGAATCTGTGTTTGGCTGATTATATTTCAGGACTGGTGTTCTCCTCACAACATTTCAAGTACTGATTTTGTTTGAATAGGTAAAAGTAATAACTACATCACTTGGAAACATATAAAATAAAAGGTTTTATTGCACACTGTTTTTGAAGTTTGGAATTTGTAAATTAATAACATAGGCGTGGTGAACACAGGTCAAGTGTGTTCAGCATCTCATGGAAAAGGACACATTAAACTTAACTGTCAAAAAGGGGAATTCACTTTAGAAATAGTTATTTTTTAGTGTATCAAATAAACTAAAGGGTCATAACAATTTCATGATAAAACAATGAAAACTTCCTAAAATATTTCTATAATCCTATTTATAGGTACTTTTTTAATAAGATCCAAAAAATTGCCATTCATGGGAACATTGAATTGTGAGGTATTAAAAACATAGCTCACTGCTTAGCTTCTAGCACAAGTTGGCATATGGTAATAAAGTCTAGGGAATTGTTTTTGCCAAAACATGGACGGTGGGGAAACCAACTTATTTTGTTGGTCAAGAGGCATTAGCTTTCCTAGTTGATAAACTTTAAACATTTTTTTACTTACAATGCAGATGAAACAAGCTGCATGGATGTAGAAATTGTAGCCAACAAGGTTATCTGTCTCGCCTTGGGCTGCATAGTCAGACAAGTGAGTGCATGAACACTCCACACAGGTACCCTGAGCAATCTTGAACGAAGGACAGGAGAGAGAATTGACCAATGGCAGGCTCCGACTGACGCCTCTAAAGTGTGACAGCCATTCACAGCACCTCTCTCATCAAGTGAATGCAGAAATATTTCATCTGATCAATCAAAAGACCCGTCCCCTCACACGTTACTGAATCAGCAGGATTGTTTCACATCAAAGCATCATCATCAAACCCATAGTCAAGACCTACCAGGACTTAGGAATACCCGATCATATTTAAAAATCAGTAAAACTTGTAGGAATACCTGATCATCTTTAGAAAGCCTATCAACACCTGGTTATTGAGAGCAGAGAACCAGCCCATCGCAAGTCAGTCACAAGCCAAATCATAAATCAGTGTGCAGTTCAGCTCATAGATAGAAAAAGCAAAACAACAGCTGACAAAATGACACAGATATCACGTAACAGACAATGATAACTACTGGTGTTAGTCGATAATCCATTCATACTAATAGTTACGGGTTTCGTTACAATTTCACTCAATTTCTTCTGTCGGTACTTACTTTCCCTGGAAGTTGTGGCCATTGATTCTACCCCGAGACCATCGGCCTGTATCTGCCACGGCATGATTGCAGGACAGTGTGTGGAGGTCTGTTGTCTCACAAAGTAGGTCTGTCACAAGGATGAAGGCATACAAGCTGAAGGACTCCACCAGCTGGTTTGCACTCCTGGCTGTGCAGAGTTCATCAACAGGGTTTATGTGGCGTGAGGGCTCAAGCAAGCACGCTGGAACATTCTGCCAATATTTCCTGAAATTTGCCAAACTTTTTTGATAATCTTCAAACTTGATCAGTTAAATAATGGTAAACTAGCTAAAACTTGAATGAAAATCATGAGAAAAAATTCTGGTGTCATGACATTTAATTAGGTGGTGCTCCAAATTTGGGTACAAAATTGAGCTGAGTGCCCCCAATACGGCTTACT